ATGTGACCAGACCATGCGGGCAACAGCTGAACCACCGCTTCTTCGACTCGCACACAGTACACTTCTAGAACGTTCCTCTGAGTGAATGTACAGTACAAACAACCATGACCGAATGCTATACTCCCATTAGAAACAGTTGAAGGGATGCCTTTCACAGCAACAACACTAGGCGCTCTACTTTTCTCGCCAACATAGTGTATCATCAATCTCGTATTGTTATCATATAAAACCAACAGTCTGTCACCATCAGAGTCGTAAACATAAAGACTCCCTCGAGCGTCACAGCCGGGCTCAAGGACAATAACCTCACCCTGATGATCGACAGGCCATAGGATGATGTCATCCCAAGTAGCATGCACTCCCAGTAGAGCGCCTTTTCTAGACAGCAAGAATTCAGGCTGTTTCGTGAGTGTGACACGTTCTCTCGGGCAGTCCAAAGAGTACCCACCGGGAGGTATATAGTCGCGAATGCAGGCCTCCAGTTCGGCGATGGGTCCACTAGTCTTAGAGTTACAACCCCAAAGGTGCTCGATCAACCTTAGCTCGAGGCTTGCTACTTGAGAGTCGCTCTTCATAGGTCAAAAAAGAGTCCGTGGAAACTAACTGCAGCAGTCTTGGAATATACGTTCACCAGTTATACTACATTGCATATAAAAATCTACGGGAATCTCGCGAAATTTTCTCAGAATTTTCATTCTGTCACCAACGAACGTAGTTGACCATGTGCATGTTTTCCCGCCACACTCAAATGCCGAATCATATCGATTTCTGTTGCCCGATACAAGACTCGATCTTCGGACCCTCCCAGAAGGGTATCATGTACGCACATAGCGCGAATATCAACGACGGACGAAGCCCTACTGCACAAAAGAGTATGTTAGAAGGCATTCATTAAAAGTAGGAAGATATGCACATGACCAACAACTACATGTGTTGGCGACAGTATGAAAATTCTGAAAAAATTTCGGGAAATTCTTAGCCTTTTCTGAAAGCTTTCACCGAACTCGTACGTGAACCTCTATAATTAGTTTTAGATATCCCCGAGCTCTGCTGAGGAAGGCGAACACATCTCCCTCCAACGCTGATGGAAAACTGCGCGACATCCCCCTTTCCGACCTCCGCCATAGCCCAACACAAATCGATTCAGTCTCGAGCGTAATACTACACGACTAAAAAACTTCAAAGGGCATCCTCACCAACTTAGTTCACAAACAAGTCTAGCAACACTTCCGCCGCTATAACAATTATCGGCTACAGTTCATAACCAAGAAAATTCACACAGCTTTTGCAACCTGCGGGCTTCGCTCCGCCTTATTAACCATTGGAGGAGTCGTCACCACATCAAGAATAGGATCCCGAACCACTCGCGGGGGATGCTGGTGCGCTTCTGGTAGGATCTGTGCTGGGTACCGCCTCGAGAGCCCCGCTAGTTTCTCAGCCTCTTTATCGTCCTCAGGTCTATGATGCTGATAATGGTATCGGTAATCAGAGCTGTGGGGATCGACGTTCGACGGAGCTGCTGATTGTAACATTATACATGTGGAAAACTTCTGGTCGTACCTGAAACACAGTGGATAAAATTCACAAGTAGAGACCACAAAAATCTCGGTAATCTGTCCAGACCCCCTCAGGGGACAAACACTCACCGAGAGGTAACTGTCGCTAATGTAAGGCTCTCGGCCGTCACCTCGGCCAAAGGGGACTGGAAGGATCGTGAGGCATCGTGGAAGACGTGTGTGCAAACCTAAAAGGCCTAGGGACTGAACCAGAGCCGTCACCAATTTTCCGTCCTACAGCGTGCATCGCTATACTAGGCAGTGCTGGTGATATCATCCCATCGGGGTTTCGAGTTGCCGCCAGAAACGCATCAGAAGCTGAAGCTCCAGCGGCCACAGGCTGTTGGATCTACGTGGTGACACCAATCATCACCATCACAGGCCGTCCCCCCTCACCTGTCCACGCTTGTGCATAAGCACTACAGAGGCTGTCTTAGAGGCCGTGTCCGGTGGTGCCGCGAGTAACGAAGATTTTAACAGCAATGAGGGGGCTATCGGCGGCTCTAACACATAGAATCATTATTCCCGACCTGTCGGTTCAGTACACCATACAATGATCTAATACTAGTTCAGCTGATTATGGTATGAACATGTAAAAGGTATATGGAGAAAAGACACCCAGTGACTGAGTTGAAACTGCCTGATTCCTCCGCATTACCCTGACTGTTAGTGCTGCTCGACGGCCCCATGTGTGAACCCGGGCCGAATGCTACTGCTGGCTCCGGCGGCAGTACCTCCTTAGTCCCGAATTCTGCATCTTCCTCAGGTGTTAATTTCACATGAGGAGCACTCTGGAACAAAATCATCCACTCACAAACCTGCCGTCGTATACTCACCCCCAAAGGCTGCGGAACATACGGGCGATAGTTAGTAAGGTCAATGTAGTTGAGCATCGTACCATCGTCCTCGTGTGTTACTGGTTGTTCCGACGCATACTTCATCTCGCCGTCTACATCAAATGCATACTGGTGGAAGCCTCGAGGGACCTCTACTATCTAACAACACCGAATCACTCGGCAGTGGATGAGAAACCTTTCCTCACCTGATAAAACTCCTGCCCGCTCCTAACCATCGGCAAGTGAGTTTTCCAATTATTAAATGTGCCCACCAACGACACGCGATGACCATCACCATTCCATCGGAACATTACTGGTACCTTAGGCCCTCCCACCGGAGCACCACTCGGTGAGGGAACCTGTGCAGGAGCTGCAGGGACATTTTCCCCGGCATGGTTAGTGGGAGGTTGGGCAAGGTCACCACTAGGACGTGGCACCGAAGGAGTACCAGGCCTGGAAGAAGGCCTCAGATTACGTCCTAGTGCGCGGAAACGACCCACCTCGGCCTCTGATGCTGAGGAGGAGTATGCTGCCGCTGAGCTCTGCTGTGTTGCATCATCGTTTCGTCACTCCTTGGTCTGGTCGCCCGTGCGGTGTGGCCTTGCGTTCGTCCAGAAGGGTGATTTCCCATGGAATTAGTTCAATTCTACTACGCATGGTAGAATATGCACATGTGTTGGTAACAATATGAAAATTCTGAGGAAATTTTGGAAAATTCTCGTTAGTTTCTGTACATTTTTCGTATGTTCTCCCAATTTCCTATATAAACTCCTACGATAAGTGAGGTCAGCTGAGGAAGGCGAACATTTTTTCAACACTGATTTTACTACATCGCGAACCACCCAGAGAGTAGTAAACTGTCGGGAGCGTGGACTTACTACGGAGTTTATATGTCACTAAGGGTAATCCCTAGAGGGCTGAGATTCAACCCTCACGACTTGTTGATTCCAAGCTAAGTCCGATACACATGTTTTCAGAGAGACGATTCAGTTCTGCTGGAGAACCTTCCAGGGCTACTCGGAAAAGTAGCTAGCTCCACAATGAGGGAATTTCCACCAGCATTACGCGGAGGTAGGAAGTCGTATTCATGGACCTGTGCTACTATGGACTAACAGGAGTACAGCGTGTAACGGTATTCGGCAAATAATAAATCACTTTAGGAAAATTTTCGCCTTCAAGACGATTCGAGGCTACCATAGACAGTTTTCGCTCCTCTTTTCCTGGCAGCGGGTCGACCTCATTTGAAGAGATCATGCTCAAGCCCTAGCAGCTATACCTAGCTACCGGAAGGCATGTGATCATACCTAGCTCAACTAGATGTAATCTCCTCAGTTCAGGAGAGATCACTACCTAGTACAGGGCCTTACAACCCTGTGGGGTATTCAACCATGCACTAGGCATCCGTCTCACCCTGTTGAGCTCTTGATATACTTTTCTCGACAATCACAGTCAACAAAGATTGATTCCCTCCGATGATGATGAGGATATGTGAGGGAGAATGTTCTACTTCAACCGCGTCACAAGGACGGTCGGTCGCATAGACGAAACCGTTTTGTCGAAACATTCTCTTATGTGATGGTCATATGTCGGCGGTCCCAGCTGCGTGTAGGTGCCAACTTTATTTCAAGTACTACTTCCACACATGCGACAGATCAGTGGTGAAAATCTCGCTCGCCCACCTAATCGATTTGGCACGTAGCGTACTTAAACTTTGTCAGCAAGTCCAGACGACAGGTAATAAGGGCAAGGATACTTGAATGCCTCGTATTATGTATGAGGTTGTATCAGACTGAAGTCGTACGCTTTCCACGTCCTCATCTCTGGAGTGCCTCGATGCATTGGGTGTGTCGTTTTCAGTAATCAACCATGGCGGTCAAGCACAACAACGTTATCCCTAACATCCACTTCCGCAAGTACTGGCAGAAGCACATCAAGACCTGGTTCGACCAGCCCGCCCGAAAGCACCGTCGTCGTCTCACTCGTCAGTCCAAGGCCGCCGCCGCTTACCCCAGGCCTTCTGCTGGTCTCTTGAGGCCCGTGGTTCGTCCCCCTACCCAGAGGTACAACTACAAGCTTCGCCTCGGTCGTGGCTTCACCGTCGAGGAGCTCGCCGCTGCTGGTATCTCCGTCAAGCTTGCCCCCACTATCGGTATCAAGGTAATCACCACCCCTGCAAGGCATTGGTGTATTACATTCTCTCGTTTTAGGTCGACAAGCGTCGTCACAACAAGTCCGAGGAGTCTCTCGCTCTTAATGTCGATCGCTTGAACCAGTACAAGGCCAAGCTCGCTGTCTTCCCCAGAGGTTCGAAGGCCAAGAAGGGTGACACTGCCCGTGCTGAGCTCGCCAACGCTACTCAGAACACTTGCAAGGTAATCGATCAGCCTGTAGTCGTACATGCATCGGGCTTGCCTTTTTCAGACTATCATCCCTGTCCCCACTGCTCGTGTTGTGGAGCATGCCCGTGCCATCACCAAGGCTGAGCGTGAGACCTCCGCCTACACTACTCTCCGTCAGTCTCGTATCACCAAGAAGATGGCTCCCAAGCGTGCCAAGGCTGCTGAGGACAAGGCCAACGCCGAGAAGTAGATTTCAACAAGGGCTGGTTACTGATGATGGTGTTCACAGGGGCTTATACTAGGATGTGAATGTCGCTATAGGATCGTTGTCGATCTGTTTGCTTCTGGACCCGCCATAGTACTTCATGTATTTTGAGTTCATTAATTCAGCAGTAGCTATGCCATGTTTTGGATGGTGAAAGAATCTGGTTTGTTCGTGGGCAGTAACATTTTTGTACGATTCTTTATAGACGGTGTTACTCTACGGTATGAGTAAAAATGGTATGGTAATTTCGCTGCATGAAACATGGTAATCTTCGATTCCCCTCTTGTTTCACCGCTTCTTGAGAGGGAGGTAATTCGACAATCTTTAGCACCGCCAAATGAATAACCCTTAATAGCAGAAGAGAAAACGAACAAGTGCAATGCATCGTTCATAAACTCACAGAGAAAGTATTCACAACACAACAAGGGATGAATTCAACTGAAAATAAAATCAATCGCATCTTCCACAGTAGATATAGTCAAGTCCTTCGCAGCAACGACCTGATAGTAGAATCATTACCCTTACTCGAATGCTATGTCAGTGTAGAATATGGTCAGGCACTGGCACTATCAATTGCAGTTGATATGATGACCGAATGAGATGATCTCATTGAGATGGTATGATTCCACACCCGTAGCTATTATGAACATCCTACGATTTCAAATGAATACTATCGATAGTATTCATTTGAAATCGTACATTGTATCAACGATCTATTGTTAAGTGTCACGGAGTGTCTAACCGTCTCACCCTGTCAATATCATGTTGAGAGACTCCCATAGTCTTCAGCTGGCTTATCATATCCTGCATCTGCCTGTCTCGTCCCTCTTGCTGGGATGCATCTCTGTTGGACGAGATGAAGTAATATCCGAACAGTAACTGCACTTACTGCCGCTCCGGAGTGTCCGAGCCGGTCTCGCTGTCGTCGGTTTCATCTGTATAGCGATAACCACATAGTGGATCGCATTCCTGCAGGCCTTTGGTCCCTCTCTTCATGAAAGCCTGACATAAGGATATACGCGAAAACCTTTTCTGAGGGGAAAAATGCCCAACCCGAGGATCGAACCGCCAACCTATTCCGAGATACACAAGACGTTCTGGGGTTGCGATGAGGACGATGGCGCCGACATTGGCTGACGCGAGGCAGAGGAGAAGAAGGGGGACTTGAGCCAAGATGGCTACGGTTAGTGACAAATGAACTATAGCTACCTCGAAGTAATCATGCTCTAAGTCCCGCTATGTGGTTGCGTACTACTAGAGAAAGCGCACGCCCTACACCCTTACAACGTTGGTAGCTTGGGGATCATACGAGTGTGTTCGAAAATCAATTTTGAGCATGTTGTTCAGATGTCGGTCATTATTCTCCAAGGAACTAGTACTCATCATAGACGATTACCTTCAACGCCTCCGTCTTCAACCTCTCCGCGGCGAAGTCGAATTCCTTCTGTGGGGCGTCCAGTAGTGGGTCGAGAGGCTCGAACACCTACACAGATATGTCGATTGAATCTACTTATGCGATCAATTACTTCAACTAACTTTGTGTAAACAAAAGTTCTCAGTTGTAGTCGATGAGCAGGGTCAGGAACCTACTAGAAAGTTTTGAATAGCAATACAGCTGTCGCCCTATGAGAGCAAGCCATCGCAGCAAAAAGAGGTAAGCCGTCGAGGCCTAGCTAGAATCAAATCGCTTCTACTGATTCACTCGAGGATTAGCAAAAGTACTGAAAAAAACAATGACTTTTCTCTTACTTGTCTCTTGTCAGGCCACGTGTCATCCTCTTCCACATTTTTATCTCTACCACACTTGCGGCAAATACTGTGCTGCTTGTAGTTGAGATAATTACAATCTGCTCCCCAACATTCCCACTGTCCTGGTTTCAGCCTGAAACACGTGCTATCCCACAGCTCAGTCACAGATTGGAAAAGAGTATGTAGTTTGCATATAGTTCATAGCGATCATGAGCATCCGAGAGATATGTACTCGCGATTGCCATGGTCATGTTACTCACAGAATATATGTATATCGCTTCGGGCATGTTAACGCCACCAATTCAAGTACAATTCGATTCTACGGTGATACAAATAATCAGACATAAAAGTTCAGCAGATGCGAATAGGAAGGAGAGAAAATTTCATCGGCATCGTAATCATCATTCACAAACCCGAATCCCTAATAAGTCCTTACCTCGGTCGGCGGCCATTCCTAATTCTGTTATTGATAGTGGAGCCACACGACTTGCATGCAAACTCATAAACAGCTCTATTGCAACTCTCACAGAACCACCCTTTGTCGGGACTCTCCGCTACGGTGAGGTTCCCGCCTGAACGATGTTTTCCAGTGTGAGGCGGAAAATAAGCCTACGTCCAATATCAGTGGTGTCCATTCCTGTTGGTCTTGAGTGAATCAAAGTCTCAATGTTCTCAGAACCTAGCAGGTGACCGATGGTTTACATACTACTATACACTTCACCCACCAGTGTTAACCTCAACCGTAACTTGTTCTTTCCCACAACTAGCACATAGCACAGCAGTACCAGAATTGCGAATACCACAATTCGGGCATTTCCAGAATCTCCCACGTATCGGCGCTTGGTCGGAATCGGTTGTGACGGACGCTACACCTTTCATTCCAGCCAGTAACTCAGCTTCCTTTTCGGCCCTCTGCGCACCGGTGATACCAGAAACGATCGTGCCTATCACGGAGG